GACCTCGGTCAAGATTCTCCCATACAGACCTCCAGCTCGGTTAATAAGAGCTAACTAATAACTAGGAATTTGCCCCTCGTCCACTGTCACTGTATGGTTACATCCCCTTTAACTAAGTCTGTCAGCACCGAAAACGTAACGTAAAAGAAATGAGACAAAACCAAAGACAGAGTCGACGAACAACCAGAGCAATAGGAGCATTAGCAACGACCAGGGCAACGCCGAAGACGACGCCATGTCAAAAATTAAATTATATTTTACCAGCGAAATTCGCAACTATCTAGATCTAAATTCGCAACTATCTAGTTTAGTACGCCGATGGCTCTAAAAACGTCCTCAGGCTAAATATGCAATGACAGCGTTCACTTCTAAATGGAAACACGAAAAATTAGCCGTCGTCGTTCGCGTTCCTCAGACTACGCAAACCTTAGTCATTTCACGTTCTTGATTTGCAGAGGACGGCAAAGAAATGTACAAAGATTTATGAGGCACGTGCACAGCCATTGTTTTGCTCATTAAGCCTTTTGTTTGGTGGCGTTCTCGTTGCCGTCCTCGTCGCGGTTTGCTTAAGTTCCCTATGAGTGACTTACGAAAACGGGAGGTAGGCTTGGCAATACAACTTCGATTGTTATAGTTTGAAACTCCTTTCTAAATTTCAACCAGTTTGTCAGAAGCGGGAATTCTTTTTTTCCACGACAGCTACTCTCTTATCTAATTTCCTAACGGCATGATTGATTCAATGACTGTGGGAATGTAACTGGGATTGGAGTGCCCCAAAACTGAAGTAAAGCAACGTAAAGCTTATCTCTCGAATGCACCTTCTCGTGCGTTGTACAATTCTGGGCGCTACACTCTGTTGATTATTCCGTCTACGACTGAAACGACATCGTGAAATGAGCAAATTTTGTATTATCTGGAGAACTGAACCGAGGCAGTAAATTTTCATTGACTTTATTTCTCCGTGAACGCCGTTTCTCCATTTTAGCTGTCTACATTAAGATTAGCTGTTTGCGTTAAGATACAAACTGAGCTGTAATAGATTTCAAAGGCAGTGTAGGATAAGCAAGATATACAATATTTTTCCACTCCCTAATAACCAGACCAACCTTGAGCATCTCCAGAATTCGTGTTTGAAGATGACGACGTTGTTGACATGTAACTCATCGACGTAGAGCTCCCTGAAGATCAAGAACAGAAACCTATGAGTTGGCAATGCATACACATGCGACTATTTTCATGTTAACATCATAATATAAATGAAAGCAATTCTCTTTTAAAGTGATTTGTTGATAGGTTGACAGACTAATACATGAAAATGGGGCCAATCTGTAACTTGGTTGCGGTGAAATGGACGGTTTCGTTGGGAAATAGCTTGGTCGTTCATTTTAACTTTGTCCGCAAATAAATCAAAAAACGCTTCTGCTTAGATTTCTCTCCTAGTTTTAGATCATCGCAGTTACGGTATTTAAGGCACTGGAGGTATACATTGAATAGGTAGGCATTCACTTTAACACTTTCATTGGAGTACGCGAAAGCCCAGAATACTGATTCAGAGAACGCAAACCTCTTTCAGATCACAGCCAAGTGAAAGGTTACAACCTTGGGCGGATGTCGTTATCTCCGTAACAATGGCCAGTCCCTGTATGTTCGTAAGACGTACCATAACGATTTCTGTTTGGTTAATTTGAATAGGGTACTAAAACGTACACTCAGGAACGGGCATATTACTCTGGCATGGTTTGGCGGGATTACTCGTGTCATCTTTCTTACGACGCAAATGGACTTGGGAGCATTCGTGAATGGAGCTTTTACATGTAATTGAGAGTTGATTACACGGGAACAAAGGAGCTATTGAAAAGAGGCTGGAAATTGATAAATAATGTGTCTGAGGATTTCAGTTGATAACAAGAGCTCTTTTGTATCCTGTCAAATGAACAGCCGGGTTTATAACATTCCCTGACGCAAGTTCTATTGAGTAAGGACCACGATTGAGTTGGGTCGCTTATAANTAACATTGACACTTTGTACCAGTGCCAGAAAAACAACTCATCACACCCGCGGTTCTATTCGCCGAGTACTTATTTTTTCGTTTGCAAAATATTTAAAGTAAAGGGAAGTTTTTCACCCATTGGCAGTTGAATCGCACGCACCTCCCTGGCGCAATAAGGACAGAAATTAGGAACATCCGCCTCATACTGAGAACCATCGCCCGAGGGAGGGTGTCTAAATATTATTACTTCTTTGATACTGTGATGCAGTTAGCGAAAGACAGAGTAAACACAAAGCAATCTAAATTATTTATTCTTGTCGTACCTGCCGCATCCGTCGTGATTTGCATCGCTAATGTACATGCAGCGAAAACGACTCTCCAATCAGCCCTTTGCCTCATGTTGTGCACCTCACCTTGATGGCAACTTTGCTGCCTTATCTTTACTCCAGCTCCGTAACGCGTTTATGTTTTTAAAGTTTTCTGCAGCTTGTTTGTATTAGAATTGACGCGCTGCAGCCAGAAGTGCGACCAGATATCGTGCGGGCTGGCGCCAGATGGCGGAACCTTGATGTTTTATCAGGAAGGAAGTTATCTGTGTTACAAGCTCATTCCTTGGCACTGGAATGGTTAAGATCTCTCAACTTCCTAATGTTTGACAAGGCTTTCCTATTTTAGGTCACCTGAAGAGCGCCCATACAAGTACACGGTTTCTGAAAGGCCAGAAATGTTCGTTCCACGTATTGACGTAATCTTCCACAACCTGCAGGTTAAATACCGTTGGTCATATTTACAAACAGGGGATTCAAGGGGTAAACTGTTGAGATAAATGAAATCTTGTGTTTAGTTTCCAGCTGTCTGCTTACCGTCTTGGCTAATTTCAAAGGTCTGTTATCTTGCTCAAAATAAGTTATTTCTCACGCGAGTGTTGTCATTGCCCTTGTGCTTACTGGGAAAATCAGGCTCGAGTTTTGCACCTGATTTTGTTGAAAACAACGAAACTGTTTTGTAATAGATCGCGTATTTGGAGGCCTGCTGGGAGAGGGTATTATTGCCCTAAGCCTAATTTGCGGATGTCTTATGCTTTCTACCTATCGTTTCAGGTAAACGGCTGGTAACTAGATCTTCAGATATCACAGCGTCCAGTTCCGATGCAGACTAAATTTTAGCCTGTTGGGTGCGCAATCGATAAAGGAAACGTAGCTATCAGATCAGCTTAACTATCGACTGGAAGGGATTACTTTGTCCTGACGAAAGCAGGCGAAAGCTTTCAAGTGGACGAGTTTTCTAATGGATTCTTTCGTTGAAAAGAAACGGAAGAAGCAGTTGAATTCCTGGACAATGACACGCACATTGCTGTGAGCAGCTTGAATTATCATCCTTGCTTACTCATCCCACTATTGTTTTATATAACTAAACAAAACCTGTAGGAAGCATTGTTAGGAGGCTTTCTTCTTCACTCAGTTAAATTACTTGACCTTCAATTTAGTCCTTAGCCCATGGTTGACCATGGATCATGACATTAAGGAAAAAAACGGGATGAACTCTTTTAAACATGCCCCAGTTTTAAGAGCGATTTTACATAAGGATACCAACAGACTTCCAACATCCCATTGACTCTGGAACCTGGGGGGGGGGGGTACTTTGGGAATTTCTGGGTGGGGATGTGCCGCTGGGACCCTGGAACCCTTAGCCTATACCAGAGCTAGT